TAGTAAAATTGAATTCAAACTACAAAATCATACATGGGAATTAGTAGACCTTCCTCCCGGTAATAAGCCATTGGGGGTGTAAATGGATTTTTAAAAGGAAAATAAAAGCAGATGGATCAATTGACAAATATAAGGCTAGACTTGTCGCGAAAGGCTACAAGCAAAAAAAAATGTCTTGATTATTTCGATAGTTATTCTCCTATGACAAGAATCACTTCCATACGTATGCTTATTGCGATAGCAGCATTGAATGGTTTGGATAAACATCAAATGGATGTTAAAACGGCTTTCTTGAATGGTGAATTGATGAAGAAATCTATATGGAGCAACTTGAAAGGTTTGTGGCCTCAGGATAAGAAAAGAAAGTATGTTGACTTGTTAAATCACTTTATGGATTAAAGCAAACTCCTAGGAAATGACATGAAAAATTTGACACGATTATGATGTCAAATGGTTTCAGAATTAATGAGTGGGACAAATGTGTTTATATTAAGAACACTCAAAATGGTTATGTCATGGTATGTTTATACGTAGATGACATGTTGATTATGGGTAACAATGATACCATAATTCAAACTACAAAAAGGATGCTAACAAGTAAATTTGAAATGAAGGATTTAGGTGTGGCCGATGTTATATTAGGAATTAAAATTTCTAAAACATCCGATTGTCTCATATTATCTCAATCACACTACATTGAGAAGATTCATAATAAATTCAAGAAATATGATATTATCCCTATGAAAACACTTATGGATGTTAGTATGCATCTTGTTTCCAATACTGGTGATCGTAAGTTTCAATTGGAATATTCTCGTATTATTGGTAGCTTAATGTATGTCATGAACTGCACACGACCTGATATTGCTTATTCCATTAGTAGACTAAGTTGATATACGAGCAATCCAAGCACTAATCATTGGAAGGCAATTGTTAGAGTTTTAGGATATTTAAAACATATGAAAAACTTTGGATTGCACTATTCAAGATATCCAACAGTACTTAAAGAATACTGTGATGCAAATTGGATATCAGATACTAAAGACTCCAAGTCAACAAGTAGATAAGCTTTTACACTTGGAGGTGTTACAGTATCATGAAAATCTTGAAAACAAACATGTATAGCTAGGTCAATGATGGAATCCGAGTTCATTTCATTAGAAAAAGCTGGAAAAGAAGCCAAATGGCTACGGAACTTTCTAGAAGGATTTTCATGTTGGATAAAACCTATGTCTGCTATATGTATCCATTGTGATAGTCAATCAGCAATTGGTAGAGCACAGAATGCGATATACAACGGTAAATCTTGACATATACGTCGTAGACACAATACCGTTAGACAATTGCTCTCTATTGGCATTATTTCTATAGATTATGTGAAGTCAAAAGCGAATATTGTGGATCTGCTAACTAAAAGTTTAACAAGAGAGCAAGTCGAAAGATCATTGAAGGGGATGGGATTAAAACCAATAAAATAATCAAAAGTTTCCATGGTGGCAACCCAACCTAGTTGACTGGAGATCCCAAGATCTAGGTTCAATGGGACAACCGAACTGTGGAAAACTTAGTACGCACTGAGAAGATTTTTACTCCTACCCATTCCTATGATGAGCCAGTGCATAACTGCCGCGAAATAGGTTAAGTTACACTTTTAATGGTTTCTATATCTTGATTCGTTTAAGTGGAGTATAGCATAATACTCTTTATAGAAACCACCTATGCGGGTGAGAAGAGACCACTTTTAAGAGAATTAAGTGAAGATGAATTCTCTAAAAACACTCATGAACCAGGAGGTGTCCAAGGCCAAAATGGACACAAACGTGAGAACCAACTGTGTTCGAAGAGAACTGTGTGACTTCTATTGTCTAGATTTACATGGACGGCTGACTATTCAAAGCAACTTGCTACTGATTGGCTAAGTAAATTCAATAGATTTTACTAGGAAAAGTTCAAAGTTTTTTGCTACTTATCTCGATGCAGTTTTCTTCAATTTTACTTCGATAAACATATCAGATATTGTTTGGAAAAAGGCCGTCATATTTCATTCATGTGGGAGATTATTGGAAAATTGTTTATAAATGGGTCAAATTTGAGCCCAAATTTCAGTGGGACCCACACTTTAATTAATTCGAGACCTAGCGTATTCACGTTCTACTCTGCGAAACGATTAACGTGATATATTTATTTGTCGAAAACCATTTAAAATTGAATGAAATATTAAATGTTAAAGTAATCCACTTGAATCTATAAATCATGAAAGAATTTGATTTACCAAACACTTATCCCACATAAGAAAGTTAGGAAACTTTGGTGTGGTTTATATAGTGGAAGTTTGGAAATTGGTTTTGGGGTCCAAGAGGTACCAATAGTTTTTGGAAGGGAGGAGACTATATCCTATCGGGTTCGGTCATAAACCCACACGTGCGCGTTGCCTCGTCCGTCCGATTGGCTCGGCTCGACATGGCACGGCACGAGCACGTGCCCGTGTCCGAGTCCGGTCCAGTTCGTGTTCAGGTACGGGTGAGTCCTTGCGCTATATTAACTTTTTGGACTAAATTGTAAATAATCAAATTCTTGGATACTTAATGAAATTAATTTTGGCTTATTTCCAGGTAATTTTTCTTGGTCTGGATGGTCTGTTAAACAGTCATCTATTAACCGACTAAACAGTCGACTGTTAACCTATTAAACCGGCACAGTATCGAACAACCATGTCTATTCAAGTTTTGAAGGCTACCTGAATAGTGACGACTGTTCGGGAGGATGTTCGAATGGCCACGAACAAGTCTATGAATAGCCTGCCCCGCTGCCAGAAAAATTACACCATTTTATTGCAAATATTCTCTGCATTGAATCTCATCCTCCCTCTCTCTCGTTCTGATATTATTTTCAAAGTTGAAACACTTCGTTGTGTTTGTTGGAACTCTTGCAGATTGCTGTGCTACTTCTGTAGGAGATGAAATTCGTTCTATCCTAGAAAACGATTGTTGGATGCTTTTAGCACCGTTGAAGGCAGCAAATTCATTTTAAAGAAATATCGTGAAGTCGGTGGGCTCGAATTAACTGTTGATCATATTTTTACGCCGTTCAAAATAACATAAGGTAATTCTGATGCAATATTTCAAGGAGAAACTTATACTCCAAAACCAGCATTATGTGCAATAATTATGTACAAGTAGAATTTTCCTTTAAAGAGGCCTTGGGGCTCTCCAGACCAATAACTTCTACAGTGGGACCATATAATTTAATTACATTGTTAAATAGTTGCTATCACATATGACCTATTTAGTACTCTACATATAAAAAATAATAATAATAATAATTAAGATTGAATACAGTATGCATTTTATTTAGAAAAAAAAATGTCCAAGTGAATTAATATTGGAACATTGGTCATTAAAGTACAAAATAATGAATTAGTTACCTTGAATACATGGCAATCAATAAAAGCTTGACAAGTACTTTTATGTAGACACATATTCATTTATATTAAATTATATAGAATCACTTCTCGTGACTATTAAAATAAAGATGATTGATACTTAAGATTGTTCGTCACGCATTTCAAAATTAAGTCTTGACACCCCTATTCAAACAAAGAATCAAATTCATTAGTTAGACTGTTTCCAAGAAAATGCATAGTCTACCGAGTTTACTTTCAAGAACCCTAGTAACCAAGTGCAAAAAGCCAAGAGAAAGATCTCAATCACAAGAGATTTTAGAAAATCTAATAAGACGACATTTCTACTCGAGTATAACGTGTCTATTTTAAAAAATAGATTGCTATCAAAAATTCAAAATTGACTTTTTATGACTTTATCGTTGAGATTTTTCAAAACAATATGTAATCCGTTATTACATGCATTAATTTCAAAAAATCAAAACGCAAGATTTTAACAATCAACAAAATTGTATAGCATCCTATCAGTAATATTTCCTATAGCATATGCGTATTTCTTGGTATATGCAATAAATGCTTGTACGCAAAGAAGATTATGAAATATTAATTCAAATTAGGAATTTCATGCAATTAACGCAAACGGATAACTTTAAAAAGCAAAAATAAGGAGAAAATCGTGACCATATATGATATTTCATTAATGCACATATCCATTGCAATTAAAAATTGAACATTTTAATGGACAACTAATTTTACCCTGCCCTTGATCTTCGTCGTCCAATAAGCAAAACAAAAACAAAAAAATAATAATAAATAAATAAAAATAAAATAATAAGTGACTTTATATAAGTACATACTATATATGATTAATTCTGATACAAAATAATACAAAACCAAGTAATTGTAGGAATTGTAATATCGCGGAACGACACAATTTATAATTTCATTTTCAATTTGGTATCACACTTTACTATAATGATTCTATATATACGCATATGATAGGACTATCCTATCAAATTATGATATGATTTAAAACTATTTAAATCATGACATATCCGACGTCTAGTGGATCAATCCAAACCATGTTTCTCTCTCTACCACTTGTCATTTGAGGTTCCATGATTTGTCGTTCAAAATGTCGTGATTTGAGTAGACTGTTATTATATGATTGTGAAACACACAAAAAAAGAAGTTCAAAATTTGGCATCTACTCAAATCACAATCCGCCTCTTTGTTACTCAATCATGACATCTCCAATGTCGAGTCGACCCTCCTGCCCATCCCGTTTCTCTCTACCGCATCCTAGTCAGAAATATCACGATTTAAATTATTTTTCATCTGAAATGTCATGATTTGGGTGAAAGATTGTACATGTGTTTATGGGTGTAAAATATAATGGAAAATGAAATTCAAAAATTGGGTCCAGTTAGAAGTGAGCTGTGTTGAAGATGTAGTAAAGAGCACAGACCCCACCCCACCATCCCCACACAAATATTTACGTGTATGTATGGAAAATGTTACGTTTACATAGAGGAAATTTAAACGTAAGATACCAACCCCATAGTCTTCTCTCTCATTAGCAATAAACAACCATAAATGCTATCGCTGGCTCTCTATGCGCTCTGCAATAACTCCTCCATCTTCTCTGCCTTTTCCCTTTCTCTTCTTCCTTCTTTATCCCATCACCATCTATCTCTCTCTCTCACATTTTTTATCTGCTTTTCTTTTCTTTTTCTTTTTTTTTCCCTTTCCCTTTCATTTCCATGTCCTCACTATTCTTCTTAAATTCTACTCACAAGAAAGGCGTCCTTAGCAATAAACCTCAAAACCACTCTTCACAGTTCTAAACAAATTCTGCTTTTTCATCAACCCTTTGACTTCAAAACCAGATCTGACCTGCTTTGCTTGTCTCTAACCGTAAAACCTGAATAGGGTTTTATAGGGTTTCTATCCACTTTCAAGAACAGTAAGTCAAACGACCACACCCACACACACCTACACACACTTGTTATACTGTTTGTTTATTCTCACTTCAGTTCTCTAAAACCAGATTTTCAGTTTTCACCTTGCGAATAATTAAGTTTAATTTTCTGTGATGAATTTGGCATTCTAATATTGCTTATTTATTTTTTTATTTTGCAGGGAGAAAAGAGGAGAGTAAAACTCCACCGAAATATACGTGGGCGTTAAATAAAATGCCAGCTTGAAAAATTTTCCAGTGTCAAAGGTTTCACACTGTGTCAAATCCGTGTTGGTCTTTTAGTTCTATATTTGGCACGTAAGGACAGATGAAAAGAAGTCTTCTTTGAGAACCCACTAACCAGAATTAAGTAAATTCCAGTCTGTTGTTACATGTAACCATCCCATTTTTTTTGTTCAGACACTGCCAAAGAATCTGTTGACCTCAACGCACTACCTTCTAAAAACCAAAACCAAAATCAAAACCAAAAAGCTAGACCTCAATTTAGAGGGAGAAAGATATATATAAAGAGAGAGAGAGAGAGAGAGAAGTTTCTAGGGTTTCATGGTGAAGATGTGCAGCTTCAAGGGCATAGGAAGAAGTCTCGTGCCAAGAATTTTCAGGCGAGTCTGAAAACCTATAAAAAAGGTCAGTGAATTTTGCAAGCCTAAAATTCCACTGAATGCAAGAAGAATTCAAGATACATATATAGAGTTACTCTTATCATCCCATTTTTTACATTGTTATTTCTCAAAATTTAAACAGAATTCTGATGAACAGTATCAGGTTCCCACAAAAATTAATTTCGTTGTCATGTTAAAAAGTGTTTATGATATACTGTTTTGTGTCAAGAGTCAAACCATTTCAAGATCTGATTAAACAAAGAACTAGGGAATAAAAGCACTTCCAATGAAATCATTCTCGATATAAACGCTAAAGCACCTTTTTCATAAATTACACACTCTCAAAAGTCACAAGATCTGAGCCTTAATAGAATTTTTTTATTCCCTAATCGCATTTCCAGATTTCATATGGCGTAATCCTTTTTTTCTTGATGTATAGTTCTGCCATGTCAATTATTGTAAACTATATTTATTTCTTAATTATATTAATTTTTTGTTAAAATTGTTTCGCTTAATTCTTTTGTTTCATCTTCTTGCAGCTGATTGGAAAATTTTAAGCTTGTCTCTCATGTCAATTGTTGTAAACTATAATTATTTCTTAATTATATTAACTTTTTGTTTAAATTGTTTCGCTTAATTCTTTTGTTCATCCTCTTGCAGCTGATTGGAAAATTTTAAGTTTGTTACTTAAGAACATCATGATGTTTCAGCCAAACATGTTTGATAGCCACCATTCCTTGCTGGACATGATCCATAAAACACCAGAAAATGAGATGGACCTTATTAAGGATGATGAATTCGACAGCAAATCGGTGACTGATATAATGGAAGCACCTTCTGGTGATGATGGAGATCCAAATCCACGCCCCAAAAAGAAGCGTTATCATCGCCATACCCAGCATCAAATCACAGAAATGGAAGCGTAAGTCAAGTGCCGGACAGAATTAAATAATTAAGAGACATTTATTCATTTTTTTCACGAAATATTTTCATTTATAGTTTTTTTAAGGAATGCCCTCACCCAGATGATAAACAAAGGAAAGAGCTTGGACGTCAATTAGGATTGGAGCCTTTACAAGTAAAATTTTGGTTCCAAAACAAGCGTACTCAAATGAAGGTAATATGTTTATCTTTCAGAATTCTTAGGCTTAAAATTTTTACCAATGATTATCACTCTATTAGTTTATTGATGTGTTTTTATATGGGAAGTTTAACTTTGATAGAATTAATAATTTCAGTCTCAACATGAGCGCCATGAGAACACACAGCTGAGGAATGAAAATGAAAAGCTTCATGCTGAGAACATAAGGTATAAAGAAGCTCTTACCAATGCTACTTGTCCCAACTGTGGAGGACCAGCGGCCATTGGCGAGATGTCATTTGATGAGCAGCATTTGAGGATCGAGAATGCTCGTTTAAGGGAAGAGGTAATAAAAGAAGACTAGAGACATTTGTATTTGGAATATTTCTTTATAATAGGTGTTTAAAGGTTCTTGCTTCAATAAGATATGCTTGTATAAATTTATTATAATCAATTTGTTAAATTATGTCTTTAATAATGATTAAGAAAATAAATGAGACATTAGGACTTTTATCTTAATATGTAGTTTTTAACTTATTTACATGGGTATCATCTTTCTAGATAGATAGGATTTCTGGAATTGCAGCAAAGTATGTTGGAAAACCTATGCTTTCTTATGCAAGTCTTTCTCCTGGATCATCTCGTTCACTTGATCTTGGACCGGGAAATTTTGGACCACATACAGGCATGGCAGGAGAGATATATGGTGCAGCTGATCTTCTTAGGTCAGTCTCCAGACCAACTGATGCCAACAAGCCCATGATCATTGAGTTGGCTGTTGCTTCAATGGAGGAGTTAATCCGAATGGCTCAAACAGAAGAACCTTTATGGATACCTAGCATGGACAATATAGAGACTTTGAGTGAAGAGGAATATGTCAGGAATTTCCCTCGTGGGATTGGGCCAAAACCCTTGGGATTGAAATCTGAGGCATCTCGAGAGTCTGCTGTTGTGATAATGAATCATATCAGCTTGGTTGAAATTCTGATGGATGTGGTAGGATTTCTAGAATCCATATTTGGACATAAGCATATAATTTTTTGATTCCGTTTTAATCAGCAGTTTTGGTTTCTGTGATTACAGAATCAATGGAGAAGCGTGTTCTCCAGCATTGTCTCGAGAGCAATGACTGTTGAAGTTTTATCAACTGGAGTGGCAGGCAACTATAATGGAGCTTTACAAGTGGTATGCATACAAATCAATTTTCTTGGTGATTGCTACTTTTCACTGATTAAGAGCTGATATTTTCTCAGCAACTCTTATAAATTGTTAATCCTAATGCATTATCTTTATAGATGACCGCTGAGTTCCAGGTCCCTTCCCCATTGGTTCCAACTCGCGAATTCTATTTTGCAAGATATTGCAAACAGCATGGTGATGGTACATGGGCTGTGGTTGATGTTTCTTTAGACAATCTGAGAGATGCCTCTGTATCCCGGTGTAGACGAAGGCCATCTGGTTGTTTGATCCAAGATTTGCCAAATGGTTACTCAAAGGTATAACCTATTCTCAAGTTAATATGTCAATTTAAATAAATATAGCCCTATATAATGCTAGTTGTGAATATGCTCCTATTTATCCTCAGGTAACATGGGTGGAACATGTTGAGGTAGATGATAGAGCTGTTCACAACATCTACAAACCACTGGTCAATTCTGGTCTCGCATTTGGGGCAAGACGCTGGGTGGCGACGTTGGATAGACAATGTGAACGTCTTGCAAGTGTAATGGCCAATAATATTTCAGCAGGAGATGTTGGAGGTACTGACATTTTACAATTTTTACTTGAACTGAAATTTTAGTTAACAGGATTTCTTTAGCCTGTGCTAATTTGTATAGTTACTGTTGCAGTGATATCATCTCCAGAAGGTAGAAAGAGTATGTTGAAGCTGGCAGAAAGAATGGTAATGAGCTTCTGCACTGGTGTCGGTGCTTCAACTGCACACACATGGACAACAATGTCAGGAAGTGGAGCTGATGATGTTAGGGTTATGACAAGAAAGAGTGTGGACGATCCAGGCAGGCCTCCTGGTATTGTGCTAAGTGCTGCTACTTCATTTTGGCTCCCAGTTCAACCAAAAAGAGTTTTCGATTTTCTTCGTGACGAGAATTCAAGAAATGAGGTATGAAATATTTTTCTCGAGTCCTGAAACTTAGTTTCAGTCAATCTTTGATCTTAAATTACCTCAGCAGCTACTATGATCAAATAAAACAGTAAAAATAAATAGATTCTTATCTCGTGCTAAGAAACCAAATAATCAATGGACATTACAGATATGACCAAAAAACAAAAATCCTTTATATAAGATTAAACAATAGCTTCTCTACTCTTTACAATTTCAGCTGTTATTGGAATGTTACAAGGATTCTTGAAATGTCTTACCTATAAAAAATTACTCATAATTTATCCTGTATCACAATTACAGTGGGATATTCTTTCTAATGGGGGCCTTGTTCAAGAAATGGCACACATAGCAAATGGCCGTGATCCAGGCAATTCTGTCTCGTTACTGCGTGTTAATGTAAGTTGTTGATTTATATAAGAAATTTTACCTCAAATGACTGGACTGTTCTTCATAAGCTGTTGAAAATGTAATGTGCAGAGTGCGAATTCTAGCCAAAGCAATATGCTGATACTACAAGAGAGTTGCACTGATTCAACAGGCTCCTATGTTATATATGCTCCAGTTGATATTGTTGCAATGAATGTGGTCTTAAGTGGTGGTGATCCAGACTATGTTGCCCTCTTACCATCTGGTTTCGCTATACTTCCTGATGGACCTATAAATCTAGCCGGAGGGATTAATCCTGAGGTTGGTTCTGGTGGTTCGTTACTGACCGTCGCCTTTCAGATATTGGTAGATTCAGTTCCAACAGCTAAACTTTCTCTGGGTTCAGTAGCAACTGTTAATAGCCTGATCAAGTGCACTGTTGAAAGGATCAAGGGTTCTGTGCTGTGCGAAGGTTCATGACCCAAAGATCTGCTTTCTGGTGAGTTTTTCTTTTTAAACTGATTGACGGCTTAGACATCTAATGTATTCTCCCTTATGCCCTCTTGCTCCCTTTAGAGCTTTCCATGCCTGAAAGAACGAAATGTTTATTTAGAAAAATAATGTCATTTAGCACCACCGGAGATCAACACCACTCACATTCTAGATGACACTGTGTGATTGATTCAACTAAAGGTAAAATTATATGAACCGTTCAAATTTACTTCTCATTAATCTTATTTAGTGCTATCTAGGCTGGTATTGACATCAATGGTGTTAAATAGAATTATTCTAGGCACCAATGTGATAAATTTTAGAAGTATGCTCTGCACTCCTAACGAACCGATACTTGATAAGAAAACTAGTAGACTGATAAACAGACTTGAAAGTTTACATTATCAAATCTGCTTCTAATCAGTGTCACAACCATCTGGTAAATATTTGATCAACCACAAATGATGCGGTCCACATTTTTTCGCCTAAATCTTGACACTGTCGTTACATATTCTTAATTAAATACAGTTTCTTCATTCTGACATCTTTCTGTTGACTGTTTTATGTTGCAGTTTATACTTGAAATGAAGAATAAATGAAAATTATTGATTTGTTTACCGTAGGATGTGAGAGAAATGGAAAGAAGTCAAGAACGCACCTTGTATAATCCTTGCCGTGTCGTGTTAATCATCTTGGATGAAGAATGCATCTTGAGTTTCACCAATCAGCAAGGTTAATATAGGTTCGGGTATTGACTAAGAAAAGACTCAGACTTGTCTTAAAATCTTTTTACCATTGTTTAATTTGCATCAAAGTTAGGGTTTTTATTTTATTTTATTTTATTTTTTTGTTTAGTAATCATTGTGTCTTTGGAGAAGTTAAGTTAGCAAACTGTGGAACCTCAATTTGGCTATTTATAAGTGGTTTTCTTTTCATGTGAATTTTTGTTTCAGTAATATTTAGCTCTTTTCTTTTGATGTGAACTTTTCTTTCAGTAATATTTAGCTCTTATTCTCTAGATGGCTACAGTGAAACTGATTTGAAAAAAAGAGGAAATCCTTCTGCAGAAGGTTTTGTTTACTTCAGTTCACCATGAAACATGAAGCAGCTCATGTTAGCCTCCTGCGAAGCAGAAAACAGTTGGAGTCAATGCCTTAAATTAAACCTCAATTTCTTTAATTCATTCTATTCCTACATCATATGATCTTTGTTGAGTTAATTAATCTGACTCAAATTGGTTAAGTTGAACTTCTGAAGTTAAAGAACTTACGAAACAATGTTGAAGACAATGCTCGAAGAACGTCCTTCGAAGCATCTAATTATTAAAGCTAAAATAACAAATGATGTTCCTAAGCCATGATCTATATACGGAAATGATCTATTAAGTACCGGTGACATGACATATCATTTAGTTGGTGAATAAATTAATGGTAGGTTCCACGTATTTAATGATTCATCAATTAAATGATTAAATGATGTGCTATGTCACAAGTTAAGCACTAGTATTTAGAAGATCATTCTATATATTGCCACTAATACATTTTTTTATTTAGGATGTCAACATTTTCTAGCAAAGTAGCTTAATTCCGATAAAAAAAAAAAAAAAACAGTTGTTGATACTCTATCGTGTGAAGGGTATTTATAAATTTAGAGAGTTAAAATTTTGAAGTACTCCAACAAGTTTTTTATTTTTAAAATTTAATAACAAAACTAGTTTTTCTCTAGAATATTTTACTATCTTCCCACATTGAAAGTTGAAAACTTTGAATGCATTTAATTAGAGAGACAGCGCCAAACCCACTATCTAAATTAAAATGTTAATTTAAAGAATTTTTTGAAGTATGATTTTAAGGAATGACTTTTTAAAATAGAGAGCATATCATATTTAAATAGTCTCTTGGAGATGCTTTTATCTAAATATCCTGTCAAAAAATGGCAGCTGCCATTGTTGCCTAGTAATTGAAAAGCTTTCAATCCCTAAAAACTTATTTAAAATTGTAACCTCGAAGATATGCTCATATGAAAATTCAAAAAATTGCTTAAACATAAAGAAACAGCAGCAATTTAGTTCAAAAACTAGAGAGTTTTTCACATAATCAGCTTAAAAAATATGTTTACCCTATCATTAAAACTCATTGAGCATGACTTGAGTTGAAATCTCATGTAGATTCAACTAAATGAAACTAATTGCCTTGTTATAGATATATTATAAGTTATGTTTATCTTCAAGATTTATACAACTACTTGTAAATGCAATAGACATTCGTTGACACGAGCTTCTTGATCATTCTAGCAAAGTCGTGTGATACTCAAGATCCAGTCTGGGAGATAATAGCAAATGCACAAAAAAATAACAATATTTTAACACAAATATAATGCTAAAAATGAAATACATTACAACTGTTCTTTGTGAGTTTTTATACTTTGATATCTTTGTAAAATCACTTCATTATCAATCATTAAGAATGTATCTTTCTCCACATAAACAATAAGGTTATCATTCATCCACTCATCTCTAATCTGATTGCGCGATCTATCCTTCACAATGTTGATGGCAGAAAATACTCTCTCTATCGTAATCGTAGCAATCAAAAGAATTAGTGTCAAAGTTAAAAGCTTGTAAACCAGTGGATATGCTTTGTTCTTATTTGTTAAAACTAATTTCCGTGTGAGAGAGCTAAGGCCATTCAATTCTTCAAACTCTTTGTTAGAGAGAATATCAAAATTGTAATAATTAGGTTTGATCTTCTATTGTGAAGAGATCTACTGTTAAAAAATCTTGTGAATAAAACTTAGCAAATTGAATCAACTTTCTTTTGTCAAATGCAGAGAGTGAATTTTGTGGGCATAGACAAGCTACACAAAGGAGTAACTTAGTACTTACCTCGGAGAAACAATCATTTAATTCTTGAAGTTGCAAACCAATGATAGCATAGTATAAATGTACTCGAAAGTGATGCAAGTTGTTCATTTGTGGAGGATTACGATAAGGGCAACCACCATGTGCATAACACATAAACATAGCATCCATGTTTATATTCTATTCTAATTAATTAAGTAAACTCTCTATATCGAGCCCTTGTTTGAGCAACATTATTGGAATGAAAATGCATTTTTGAATAGTATATTGATGAAAAATGTGTGGTTAAAAAATAAGAAAATATTTTGGATTTGCGTGTAATATATTTTTATTAAAGAATGTGATTAAAATGATGTCAAATCACTATTGAAGAATGTATTTTTTTCAAATAATGTGGCTCAAACAAGAACTTATATGTGAATTTTGACCTAATTAAATGAATTAATACAATAAAAAATTTATTTAACAGTTCTAGTAATTTCAGAAATATATCTCTGTCCTCTAATTAAATTATTGAATTTTAATATTTGGTCTAAACAATTAATTTAGATATCTATTCACTATCAATCACAAATCAATTAATAGTAATTAATTGCAATCATTAAAATATTAAAAAAGTTCACAATATCTAATAAAAATTAAACCTTTCAATAATTAAAAAAATCTAGAGTTTCGAATTAAAGCTAAATTATTCGATCTATTAATGAATTTAGCAACAAATCATCGTAATAAAATTGAAATACATCAAAGAAAAAGAGAATAAAAAGTGAAAAACTATCTTGCAGCAAGCTTGAATTATCTCTCTTCAATAAATTCTCCAAATCAACGTTTTTTGCCTTATATTTTTTTTTTCTCTCTCGCAATTTAATTTTCAGAAACGCTACCAACCCTAATAATGAATGAAAAGTCCCATTCATAGCGTTCTATTTCCATAGAACTTTGATGCCCTAAAGCCCCTCATCAAAATATTAAGTCATATTTATATTTGTCTTCCATTATTATAGTGAAAAATCAAAGTCCTAAATCGTCTCAACTTGTTAAGTAACTCAAGGCTGGCCTATTAATGATATTTTTGACCCTATGAAATATTAGATATTTCTGAATAATGGGTCCAGCTTAACTAAAGTTTATTTTTTGTTAAGTATACTCAAGAAGATAAATTTTAGGGGCATGTTAAGCTAACACATAAGATGTGTTAAACAAAATGTTGTCAGCTAAATGATTTGGAAGTTGTATAGAGATACAATTGATAATATTATCTACACAAATGTTTTATTAATGCTTGTTGTGTACACTCAAGTTCTTAATATAACAAATAGGATCCAGCCCATTGGAAGTCAAGTATAAATTTCATAAATTTATGCGAGATGATTATAAATTTGAGTTAAACAGTAAGAGTATAATTAATTTAATAAAAGACCATATTAAATTAATTGATGTATTCTACATATTATTATTTTTTACTTTTCGTCATTTATTTTTATTGAATCATGAAAAACCATGTGTATTTAAGTGGCATACTAGATGCCAACAATCAAATTAGATTTCTTTATTGGCACTACAATCTGAGAATTGTTCTCAGGCATGGAAAATTGATTATGTCCTTAAGTAGCCCTTTCTAGAGACACATGCTGATGACTGGACTGAGGAAAAGGTGGATGCTATAATAAACACTGTGATGACGATAATACTACAGTATGTGTGATGCTTGAAGCTATGTCGCCTGAATTACAAAAGCAACATGAGAGTATAGATGTTAACGAGTGATTTCATTTCAAAGAGTTGTATAATAATAATCATGTGTGGAATGATATGAGACTTCTAAACAACTATAAAGGTACAAACTGACAAAGGAGTCTTTAGTCAATACTCATGTATTGAAGATGATTAGCATTGGAAAGTTGTCTTAATTGAGTTCAATCGTGAACCAGGAACTAAATATTGACTTGGTTCTGCAATCTCTATCAAAGAAAGTTATTCACAATTAATTATGAATTTAACATAAATAAACTTGAATGCACATTCACTGAGGTGCCGAAAATGCTTAAGACTATTCAGCCCAATATCAAAGTTAATAGTGGACAAACCATTGATTCCTCTAATGGTACTAAGAGAAAGTCTAAAGAGGCTTTAGAAAAGCATCCAAGATGGCTAAGATGGTCAAAGTGAAGAAGGATAATACCAAATCTAATTATCATTGTTTTCATTATAAAATGAAAGGTCGATGGAAAAAATATTGTAAGGCTTATGTTTACTTCATTAGCTTCTTAGGTATTTGATACCAAATGTGGATCTCATATTTATACAAATATAAAGAAACTAAATAGAAGTAGACGCTGTAAAAACAAGAAGTTGACCTGCACGTTAAAAGTGAGCAAAGATTGCTGTATTGACTATGTTATTGCCTTTAGGCTTATTACTCGAATCAGATAAATGTTATTTTTTTCTCACCATTATCAAGACCATAATTTGAATTTCATGTTTGGACATGAATTATTTCAATGTTAAGGACAATTGTTGCTCCTTTTTTTCTTGATAAGATCTTAATGGTTATGGTAAATTACGAAATAACTTTTATATTCTAAATACTATGTATTCTTTAACGAATATAGAAATTAGAAGGCATAGAAATGATAGTCTGAATAGCAACAATATCTGGCAAGTCACATAAATGAAAATACAATTACAAAATTACATAGAGGTGTATACTTTGGGTCAATTGATTTTTAATTATTTGACAAGTTCGAATCATGTCTGTTAGGTACAATGACCAAATCTCATTTTACTTGAAAATGAGAAAATCCTACATAATTATTGGCATAATACATAGTAATGTATATGAACCTTGTCAATTAATATTAGATAAGGTTTTTCTTATTTCTTCACAATTACTAATGACTATTTTCAGAAATAGTCATGTATACTTGAAGAAATTAAATCATGACACTCTTGAAGGGTTTAGGATTCAAGCTAGAAGTAGAGAAATAAATAGGTGCAGATATTCTCACATTAAGATTAGAACGAGGCATAGAATTTTAAATTATCCAAAAGAGAATGAGATTCTCTGATAGTGTACTCCACCATATACACCATAGCATAATGGTGTATCAGAACAGAAGAACCACACATTATTAGATATAGTGCGATTAATAACAAGCCATGGAAACTTCCCTAAAGCTATTTTGGGGTCATGCACTGATTGTAGCATGCTACATACTAAACCATGTCCCATCTTAGTCGGTTAACAAAAAATCCATACAAGCTGTGGAAAGGCTACTAGTCCAAATTTATCACATGTAAAGTTTGGGATTGTAATGCTTATGAAGTGTATTGAATCGGATAAACTTGCAACTAAATTTGATAAATACATATTTGTAGATATCCAAACAGATATTTGGATACCAATTCTATTATCTCATTGAGAAGAAAGTCTTCATCTTAAAATATTTCTTATTCATATAAAAAGAGTTCATTCTAGGAGAGGACAATGGAAGTAAAATAAAACTTGAAGGAGTTCAAGAGTCCATAGATATAGTTGACCAAGTAGATGAATCTAAGTTTGATCTCACACTTGTTGAGGGACATATTCTTGATCAGGAAGAGCTTCTAAGGACATGTTAGCTCTGTGTAAATCTAGTGAGATCATTTGACCTTCAAAAATGTGTGAATCCACGATTACTAATCAAGTATTATTAGTCAATGATGATGAACCTACTAATTACTCATAAAAAAGGCAAGTGTTGACTCAAAAAGATAGCAAGAGGCCATGAAATCTGAGATGGATTCGATGTATGTAATCAAGGTTTAGACCTTGATCGACCAATCTGATGGGATAGAACCTATAGGTTATAAATGGGTTTACACCAAATGGGTGGCATGGATAGAAACTTTCGTGCATATAAAGAGAGGTTAATGGCAAAAGGTTACAAACAAAGATAAAGTGTTGACTTTGATGAAACATTTTTGCTTGTAGCCATGCTTAAGTCCAATCAAATATTGCTTGTAATTGTTACATATCATGATTATGAAATATGGTAAATGAATGTCAAAACTACTTTCCTTAATGGAAACTTGCAAGAAGAAAAATACATGACATAACTCGAAGGTTTTGAATATAAAGAAGTCAACAATGTATGTAAGATTGATCAATCCACTTATGGGTTAAAGCAAACTTCTAAGAGCTGGAATCTTTGTTTTGACGAGACAAATAAAAGGTTTGATTTTATCAAAAATGAAGATAAACCATGTGTTTACAAGAAAGATAGTGTGAGCATTATTGCATTTCTAATATTATATGTATTAATAGGAAACGACATCCTTACGTTTCAATCATTGAAATTGTGGTTTTTAAAGGACTTCTTCATGAAAGATAAGGGAGAAGAAACTTGATCTATAGAGATAGATACAAAAGATTACTTAACTCAGGGCAATCTACAGAGATAAAATCTTAATAAGATTTTGTATGGAGAATATGAACTAAGAGCTCAAGGATACACTGATGCTAACTTTTAATTAGATTAGAATGATAGCATGTCTTAATCAGGATATTAGTTTACTCTTAAGCAGTATGTTGGAAAGTTTCCAGACAATAAATCACATTTGAATCAATAGTGAAAGCCTAATACACCATTACTTCAGAGCAGCAAGTAGTTACAATGTGGATCAAGAGGTTCATTAATGAACTTGGAGTGTTCCTAACATTATTGATCACATGTCATTATATTGTGATAATAATAATGTCATTGTGCAAGCGAAGAAATAAGGTTTCATTAATGATCCGAATATGTATTAAGGCAATATCATGTCATCAAAGAGATAATACAAATAAATAATGTAAAGAAAGAAACGAATTTCCACAATCGATAATATTGTAAATCCATTGATAAAGAGTTGTCGCAGTATAAATATGATAGTCATGTAAACTCTTATGAAATTAGATACATAACTGATTGGATCTAGTACAAGTTGGAGTTTGTAAGTGTTATACCTTAGGTTTAATCAACTTTGGATATAAGGACTTTTGATATATAGTTGATGCAATTTTTTGACAGATATATTATTTAATTAATATTCGATTAAGTTAAATAATAGAATCTGTAAATTCAAATTTTGGTAATTTGTTAATCACAAAAAGTTGTGATTGTGAGATACAAATTACATATCATTGAATCTTAAATTATCCATGGTTGTAAGTAACAACTAGATATGGATATCGTTATTGCTGATAGATCATCACCTGTGGCATTTCGAAGTAGGTAGCTGATCTCACAAGTTAAAGTGTGTTGACACTTAAATGAACAAGTGTATATTTTGTTATAGAATAAAATATCGAAGACTCGCTAGGAGATTCCACACGAATAACTACCTGATTGTCAATAGTTAATCTCTAACGTTCAATAGTTGAATTGGTCCTTTGACTTGAAGTCATCATAGTACCTTATATTAGGGTAGTCATACTTTTGTGACGTTGTTGCTTTACCAATGGTTGCTAATACGATATCGTTCGGGTATGTCAAGAATCTTATAAAGGTTGTAAACAATCAATAGAGGATTTGTCACTCTTAAATAGTAAAATAGTATGATTTATATTTCATTCAGTTAAATTGATAATAAAATCTTTGGTCAAAGTGTACTCATAAGTCAAAAATAAATTTTCGACTCATATTTACTTAATAGTGCAATGAAAAATATGATCGATAATTGAGATGTTCCACTAATTTCGATGTTCTAAGTTCGTATGTGTGATCAAGGTTTAAAATTTCTATACATAAACACCATATTTGGGACACAAATGCAATGCATAGTGAGTGAGGCAAAAATAAAAAATAAAAAATCACTACTCATTATCTTTTCCATTTTTTTTTTCCAGATTTCTACCTAAATTTCAAATTCACATAACTTCTTCGTTTTAGATTCAAAATTAGTGTTCTTTATATGGTCCGAAAGCTCATTGAAGTACCTTTCTAATCATACCTATCTTCATAATTATCAATGCAATCATGCTACAGCTACATAAATATAATTTGTAACGTAATTCTTAACATAATGTCACATGGCAACTTATCATTGGATTATTTAAAATGCAATCAAATTTTTCAATAATCACATCTTGCTAACGCCTATCATGCAAACCATTATGTCGACTACTTTCTTATAAATGTACGGAAAGCACTAAATTTTTTAAGTGACTGCAAAATCGACTGAAATTTCAATTTTCTCCCAAAGACAATAGTGAAAACTAGTGAAATTTTGCAGGTCAAATCTACAGTATATTATATACATAATTTCAAAACTTCGTTAATTTTAGACATGTAAATCAAAAAAGAATTATACTATTTGTTCATAAAATGATACTAAAGGGTTACATAAAATGACGTGAAGATAATAAATTGTATGAAAAAGTTGACTGTATTTTTTAATTGAAAAAATAATAAAGTAACATGTGGCATTATGTAACACATTATATAAAACTTGATGTACATGTAGCAATGTCCATCAAAAGATACCATTAAATACTACATAAGGTTTTAATTTTAAATACAATTTTAATAACTCAATTGAATCATGTAATTGCATATTTAAACACGTATTATAATAAGGACTTCAATCTTATGGCTCTGATACCAATTAAAGATTATATAAACATTCTTTAACATAAATTATGAGTTAAAAATACTTGAAAGAATAATTCTAGGATTATTTTGTGTTTAAGTCACCTTACTTCCAAACACCAAATTCTTCATATTTTAACATTTCCATGGTCTCAATCGGGATCATAATAGAAGGGGATTATTATTCACAATTTAAGTACTTAATTTTGTAACTTTTCATGCTATGAATTTTACATAATTCCTTACCATCTTTTCTCACTTTTTTTCTAGACAATTATTGGAGATTATATGGGAGTTAAAAGTGGTCATGGGGAGTTTAGGTTTGAATTTTAAATTCATGTCGTTCCTTCCAACCATTTTGATGTCTTGTGGATCAAGTAACTCAACATAAGCGACCCGCAATTCTTATTTTTCAACACAAACAAATTTGTATTGAAGTTGTCATACTGATGAATCCTATAATCGATCTACTTACCTTCGGTTGAAATAATCTCCAAAAAGCCCAAAAACAGTGTTCAAAAAGTAGAGTAGCTGCAAATACTAAGCCACCAGCATATTCATATGTTTTTCTTTTTCTTTTTCTTTTTTTCTAAATAATATCTTCTTCAATATGTTTGTAGAAACGACTGTAAACTTCCATATTGATGATTACATCTTTAATATAACGCTAGTACATAATAAAACTGAGAAAATAATCTTTTCAATACCTATATAATTGTTAAAAAAAAAAAATACAGAAAATAAGACAACCACCAGTAATGACAGACCACAACTCTACAAGGATACCTACACCATACATTTTCGCCAAATAATTGAACTTGAAAAAACAAGAATGGTTGTGCAGTTGGTTGGGATGACAATGACGGTGGAATATTTAATGCCTCATGTTTTTCCATGCCCTATACATTCTTGAAAACAATCCATTTATTCTTTCTTTTAATGATCAAAATCATTTTCTCATATGTGGTCATTAATAATTCCTGTTTTTGAAAGCGATTTTCCAATTTGAAATAACTAAATAAATCAGAATTAATTGAAATACAATGTTCATCGCGTGATGAAATCTATTTCTTGACCTTTATGAATTCAAGAATTAATTAATATGCAAAATATTATAGAATATGATGGGACCTCCTTAATTATCTTTATTTGGCTAATGGATAAAGGAGCTTTTTCACTTTTTTGATTGGTCTAAGCCATTGGTCAATGCTACATTAAATTATTTTTGGTTATAAATACATGAGCACTAGACTAACTAAATTTGAACAGCTAATATTCAAAGTGTCATATATCTTTCACTATTTAATTGGTAAAAGATTAGGTAACAAAGTCAAAGTTTAGTTTAGTTTAGTTTTCCTTTATTTTTCATTTTATAATGTAATACTGGTTGGAAAAATTATCCTTTGTTGTAAAATAAAACTTAATAAGCTTGAAAGTTAACAAGAGGGGAATATAATTTATGTGGAGAAATTTTTGGATTGTGAAATATGGGTTCATGCGAGCATTGTGTTAATTAACATAATTTGGATTAATGTTTATATATTTAGTATAATTTTAATTTTCAAAGTTACAGTCACTGGACCACAATTTTGCCACTAATTGTGTGTAAATAGCTTTGAGTGAATTACTCAAATGGTCACTAAACTTTGTAAAATGTTTTCATGGATTCATCGAAGTTTAAAAATCATCTAATTCATCACTCAACTTTGTAAAAAAATTTCACGGGTCACTGAACTTTGCAAAATGTTTACTAGGGGTTACTAATTTAGTGATTTTTAAAGTTCAGTGACCCCTAAGAAACCTTTTGCAAAGTTCAGTTACTCTTTGGAAACCATTTGCAAAGTTCAGTTATGAATGAGATGATTTTTAAAATTCAGTGATCTCGTGAAAACTTTTTGCAAAGTTCGGTGATGATTAAAGTTCAATGACCTTATGAAACCTTTTTGTAAAGTTCAATGACTATTTGGGTAATTCATTCAAATAGCTTTCAATAAATTCGTCTTAAGATTAGGTAGATTCAATTAAAATGATAATTTTTCACTTCTGAAAACAACCTAAAGTATAAAGGAGCTTTTTCACTTTTTGATTGGTCTAAGGCATTGGTCAATGCTACATTAAATTATTTTTGGTTATAAATACACTGAGTACTAGACTAACTAAATTTGAACAGTACTGTGTTTAATTACTTTAATTTGATGCTAATATTCAAAGGGTCATATATCTTTCACTATTTAATTGGTAAAGATTAGGTAATAAAGTCAAAGTTTAGTTTAGTTCATTTTTCCTTTATTTTTCATTTTATAATGTAATAATGGTTGGAAAAGTTATCCTTTGTTGTAAAATAAAACTTATTAAGCTTGAAAGTTAACGAGAGGGGAATGTAATTTATGTGGAGAAATTTTTGGATTGTGAAATATGGGTTCATGCGAGAATTGTGTTAACTAACATAATTTGGATTAATGTTTATGTGTTTAGTATAATTTTAATTTTCACAGTTACAGTCATTGGACCACAATTTTGCCACTAATTGTGTGCGAATAGCTTTCAATAAATTTGTTTTAAGATTGAATTAAAATGTTAATTTTTCACTTCTGAAAACAACCTAAAAATTTTAATTACGAAAGACCTTGAAAGATTTCTTGATATTGTATGTGAAAGTTACAAAGACGATTTCTCTATGTTTCGGAAATAAGAATAATGTTATTTACAGTCGCTCACTACGACAGTCACCCTACGTGGCATACACATAGTAGGTGATTATTTGATGCATTAATGAATAAAAAAACTACCGCATTAATGTATCAAATAATCACCTGCTATGTGTATGCCACATCGGACGACTGCCGCAGTGAACGACTACGAATAGCATTACTCCGGAAATAATGTGTGAGAAGGGACGTATTATTGCACGGGGAGAGCAAAAGCTGTTGGATTTTTTATTTTTATTTTTTTGTACTGATTTTAATATTATACCTTTCCTAAACATTGTAACTTACCCACATTTAAAATTCTACTATTCATTATATCCGTCAATCATTTTTGGAAATAATGTGTGAGAAGGGACGTATTATTGTAACGGGAAGAGCAAAAGCCGTTGAATTTTTTATTTTATTTTTATTTTTATTTTTTTGTGCTGGTTTTAGTATTGTGCCTTTCCTAAACATTGTAACTTACCCACATTTAAAATTCTATTAATTATATCCGTCAATCATTTATTGTTTAAATATAGACCATTAGATTGACAATCGAAGATAATATTACGATTTTATTTTTAGATGAACTTCACAAAAAATAAGTTATTCAATATAGTGAACTCCATACTTAGGACAAAGCCGCCTCGTAATATAATAAAACACCACTAAGCGTAGCAATACGACAAAGTGCCTGTTATGGATTTATCGGGGGGGGGGGGGGGGGGGGGGGGAACCCC